GAAAATTATTCAATTAATTCCTGGTATTTATTTCTGTTAGAGGCTGAGTCGACACCAGGGCCATGGTGCGGACGGAAGGATTAGGTCAACTGAAAAAAATCCAATGACCTCATCGGGACTTGAACCCGCGACCTTCCGGCTTGTAGCATAGCCCCTCAACCAACTACTCCACCGCGTGCTCCCAATATAATCCTATAGTATAACTAAAATTAAGAATTACTGGGTTTTTGGACGTTTTCCATTGTCCGGTATTTTGAAAACTGGAGAACACGGCGTTTCGGAAACTGGATCTGTTTCCGTCATCAGATGGAGAGGGAGACACCTACTCAGTTGGGTCTGTTAGAATGAGCTAATGTCCATGTGGACGATTGAGGGTAGCTCTTTCTAAGAGACAATGGGCAAAGTCCAAAACCCAGTAATTCTGAGAGTTATACACCACGTACAACATAAAAATACAAGTTGGGGCACATGGACAAAGCCGCGGTACAAGAAGAAGCCACTGCACCAGGAGCAGAAGCAATAAAATGTCCGTATTAAAAATAAAAACTAATAAGAAATGCATAATTTCAGAGGTAACCAATTATCTGAAGAAAATATTAAAACCAATTGTCGAAAATGCATATACTCGTATGTATAGCACGTATATAGCACATGTCTCGCAACATTCAGTGTTGACCAAATTATTTAAATGAAATGTCGCAGTCGCTTAGAGAATAGCTCTTATTTAAGCTTAGTACTGAATAATATTCCAGTTTAACATTTTGTGATCATTTTATTAATACAAAATGCATCATAAATTAATTATACAATAATTAATGAAAACTTCTAACATGAACACGATCAGTCTACAATAAATTAATATTAAGATTAAACATTTATATCTTATAATCATTTTCAGTCCCTAGTATTAGAAACTCAGAAGTCGAAGTCTAAGAATCCTAAAATTTCATATCCCTGCCATCTGCACATCTACGACTTCATATCTAGACAACGCTCAAAGGTATATTTGCCCAAGACTGGCCTTTATACTTTGCTCTTCTCTATGACTTCCATTTGGCGGCTATATTGTCATTTGCGGACCTGCATACCGGGTCACAGGATAAACCCATTGAATCATTAAACATGTGAGGTTAGTACAGCGGCTATGGATACCTCTTTGTTCTAGGATGTGATTCCATTCAGCCTGGTACATCGTTATCAACATTTTGGAGAAACGTGGTGCCTCCATCCTCAGGGTACAAGATGAAGTCTCTTCAGTCATGAAGATGAAGGCCCTACGTTCCCCCAAATCGTGGGTAATGATCTACCAGGGTACACGCCGTCACGTTTTAGAAGAAAATTACTTTCTTCAAACTTCTACTGGCAGTCTGGTAACCCAACAATTTTCTTATTTATGAGAATATAAAGGTAAAGCTATCCCTGTAACAGGCCATGGAGGCTCATAGGATTGTGAGACGTCGAGGCTCCCACACTTGCTAGATGATCAGCTCACAGATGGCGGTGAGGTCAGCCTTACGCGCCGGCCATCTTTACCCCCAGGAAGAATATGTAGTGATACAAAGAAATATGAACCATGGACATTTATTGAAGTAAAATATCCACAGAATTCCGAATATCTTAAAGTCACATTTCTGATGTCCTGTCTGACAGTGCTGCTCATCCTGGTCGAACGTGCAGTCAAAAAGAATACGTGATTATATACGTTTATATAAATATTCAGTGTACTTAGAACTTGCAAGATTCTGTAGTAAAACGTAAAGTTGTCCCTGTGCTTAACTAATTAAGCACTACTCCATGAAGGGGTATGGGGAAGTGGATGTACAAATCCGCGTTTCCTTGACCTCGGCACTAACTTGAGGTGAGTGATCAGCTTCTCGCTCCTGCCGCTTTACCCCCTGGGGAACGATCCTCCGGTACCCATTGGATAGGAGGCTGGGTGGGCCCCAGAACCGGTCTCGACGACATCGAGAAGTGAAAATTATTGCCCCCAACGGGGCTCGAACTCCAACCCCTTAGTCGTCCAGCCCGTAGCCTGTCGCTATACCGACTGTGCTATCCCTGCTCTTAAGACTCTGTAACTATTGTATTAAAAAGGAATAAACAATCATAGGATTTGAATTGTAATCCTAGATGGTTCCACCAAATAATGCGTCACTCTTAAAGATATGACGTCTAACGCGGCAGCGTAGTTGTTTGAGGCACTGCTAAAAGCCAATAGGTTGCGGGTTCGATTCTTGATGAGGTCATTGGATTTTTCAATTGAGCTAATGCTTCCAGCCGCACTATGGCCCTGGGCTCGAGTCAGCCTCTAACAGAAATGAGTACCACGAATCTTCCTTGGATTAAAGGGTGGCTGGCGCATAAGGCTGACAACCTTACTGCCATCTATGAGCCGACTGTCTAGATAATGTGGGACCCTCAACGTCTCACAACCCTATGGGCCTTTACGGCCTCTTACAGGGATAGCTTTACGTTGTTTTTTTTTTTACTAATGCTCGCAGAAATAAAGGAATTTGATGCTTTTCTGAACACAGAATTGCCGTAACAATCAGAAGGCTCTAAGAAACACAAAACTGTCACTGACATCTTACACTAATCTAAAACTCAATTCTATATAATCTATACATGCATATATAAATTTATATAGCAAAAAATGTTTAACAAAAACCAAACAAAATCTTACAAATTTGAGTCTATGACCTCCTGCAATCAGTAATTTTGTCTTAGTAGGATCATAACATCCTCACCCGGAAGAAAAAAAATGTGCCCGTTGAAACATTTTCTAGCGAGTAGTTAATTTTAAAATATAGCATGTAAATGAAAAATGTTTGCTTTTATGAAATTTTATTTTCGTTAGGTAATAGTTTATCTAAAATACTCTGTGCTCTGTATATGAAATGACTGCCATTGAAGTGTTTTGCGATAGCTGCTCCTAGTTTGTTGATGAAATCAATATTGTAAGAAGAAAGTAAAAGTAAAGGTATCTCTGTAACAGGCCGTGGAGACCCATAGGGTTATGAGACGTCGAGGTTCCCAAATTTTTTAGACAATCGGCTCACAGATGGCGGGAAGGTTGTCAGCCCTACGCGCTGGGAATCAGTACTGTGGGAACAGCAATGAATTGCCCAGTAGGCTAATAATATTCAATTGACTTTCTTCCATAATATCCTAGCTTTACCAACACTTTTATATGGAAGTGAATGCGAAAAGCAAAACCAGAATTATATTACTGAAGTGAAATTTATGAGAAGAACGGAGAAATGCCTTTGGATGCATGGACGCTTCCAAGACTTTTTCTTTCCAAAGGTGGAAAGTCAGAAACTTTGATTACAAACTTATATTTAAGCCATATAAGTCTAGTTCTACTGGTAGACCTAGATTATTCACGGCAGAATAGTAATAATTTATTTCAAAAATAATGTGCAGAAAGGAACTCCCGAAACTGTTAGAAAAGAACTGGAAACTACACGTACGAAGGAACCATTGAAGACCTTTGAAGAGACTAATGGTTGATGAGGCTACAAAAGGGTCAGCAAGTAGCCATACTCCCTGGCCGTTGGATGATGCTAATGACTCGTTTTATTTGTTATTACTTTTGAATTAGATAAACTTAACCATTCTCCTCTTATCAGTTAAAGATTAAACACTAATGCAATCTGCAGTAATGTACAAGATGTTTATCGTAGGACAAAGGTCGTACTTTCAAAATTGGAACTGAAAGGCAGCAACTTTCATCTGCAATATACATGAAAAATGAATGACGATGATTCATGCAGTTAGGTCTACTTTGTCCTTGGTTCGGAATCTCTCCGAACTTCCGCCTTTGGCTTCTGTTGTACGTCCGATTTCTTACTGCTGTCTATCGAAAGCCGCCTCATTTCCTTCTTGGCACCTCTCTTCTGCATCTTCCGGTATTTATGTACGGCATCGGTAACAAATTTCGAAATAGATGCGAGCCTGAAACAGAAGAGCTAGTCAGATAGGCATTATCTCTCAGTATTTGCCATATCTCGGAGTTGTTTACACAGAACAGAGATAAAATTCGAGTACGCTCGTAGCTGCTTCCATTCAGAATTATCGCATCTCCTGTCTGAACACATATAAAGATTAAAACATAAACCATTGTTATTTCAATTAAGACCTAAAGGTCTCTGACGCCGGTACATTAGTACAAACATCATGTTTCTGAACATTATACATATCCTGTTTATGTTTAAAAATACACCATTCCGGAGACTGGATTCTTTGCGGAGACAGGGACTAGCTCCAGCTGCTGGGCCCAACTGAGTAGGTTTTACTTGAACACGGAAACAGAATTCAGTCTCCGGAACATTGTGTTTTAAATACAAATACGATGGTGCTTTACATAAAGACAGGACGATGGCTAATGTCCAGAAAGATAATACGTGTATTATTTTACAGAGGGCCGTGTAGCTCAGTCGGTATAGCGATAGGTTACGGGCTGGACAGCTGAGGAATCTGGGTTTGATCTCCGGCAAAAACAAGAAAATTCTGTCTTCTTCCCAGGGTGCAGACCGACTGTGGGGGCACACCTCAACCCCTGGGAGTAAAGTAGCTGGAGCGTGAAGCTGACCACTCACTTCAATCAAATACTGAGGATTAGGGCCGTGTCATAGCTCAGGCGGTTAATCGATGGCTTCCCACGCCGGTGGCCCGAGTTCGAGCACAGGTCGTGTGGCATTTGTGAGAGAGTGGCACTGAGGCCGGTGTTCTCCGAGCCCCTCGGTTCTCCTGCCAATTCTCATTCCACCGGCTGCTCCACGCTCAGCACCTACCGTCCAATGGCCGACGTAAAGTTCTTGTATTTAGAAGGGCCAGTCCAGCAAAAGCTGCGCAGCGGATGGGCAGGTCCATTCGTGAAAGTTGAGGGGTGTTGTGATTAGTCATTCCTCTGCATTCGGTGCGAGCAGACGTCTCAAGAGCATTCTTCCTTGTACAGTCAAGTTAAAAAGTTTTGACTCTTGGAGTCGTATTTGGGTGTATTGTTCGCTAATTACTGTATTAATATTTTATTTTATTGTTTATTTTTATTCGTTGATTTTGTTTATTTATATTTGTACATTTTTTCTATCTCCTTTAACATGCCACCTACACGGAGTAAATTGAGTGGAAAAATGTTGCATTCACAATCAAGAGATATTGTTAGTAGGTATATGAAGGAGACGGGGCCAACAATTACAGTGAAGAACATAGGAGTGGAAGTAGCAAAGGCAACAGGTGTGTCGGAGAGCAGTACCAAATGGACTCTCTCACCCCACCCCAGGGACCTAAACTAACTAAAGTGCTGAGGTTGGTTTATCTGCACAGATGAACGCATTCAGAGGATATAAGGTCGCAGAAGAATACCTGCATGTACATTTTACAAGCACGTTTTGGCAGAATGAATTATAAATGGCGCGCTAACATTAACGCTGAAATATTTTTATTGTGGCGTATAGAACCATTGCTAGGCAACGACTTAGTAAACATTGCTACGGGAACCAAAACGCGCAACAATAGGACGTTTACTGCTGGGCAACGGATAAGTGAACACGCCTAAAACAATGTGGGACAATAGAAGACCGTGTTTCCCGTGGGGTCAGACCCGAGAAGATCCAAGGGGGCAGTTGTCAAGGTTGTCAAGAAATGGGTCGAGTTCTAGAGATGGCAGTCGAAGGTGAATGGGAAGTGTGAAGAAAGGAATTAGGCGGTGCAAAGAAGACTCCATGTGTCATTGGAGTGTTAGTGGGGCTGTTATAAATCCGTTGCTTGTGTACGACTAGTGAAGACTGAGAACCTTAGTGGGTGTGCAACGGCGAACTGTGTAGATCAGCGACAGCGCTGTAACTGCCTCTAAGAATAAGGTGCCAGTAAATCCAATCATAAAATCCAAAAGTCGTAAGTCGCGCGCAAACCCATGTTCGTGACAATATCGATAAGCTCAACAGTTTTAAGTATCAATTCGGATAGCCCCAGAAGCTGTTTAACCTTTTACATAAAACTATATTTTAAATGAAGATATATTTATATAGATGCGAATCTATCAATTCAAGTTCTGGGGAAGATTCGTCTCATGTTATTGACGATAAAATACTTAGATTATGTCCATGATTTATTTAATCCGTCTTGCAGTGCATACATTCATTTATCTCCTTTCCCTCGCACTACATATTTCGGCATAATAATGCCATCTTCAGGTGCTTAATTGTCCACGTCAAACCAGTTCATTGCATGCCATGTTCACACATTAAAATAACTAAAATATTTATCTATCATATACATTGTCAAACGTTAAAAATATTATTTTATATTTATNAAGACGGATTAAATAAATCATGGACTTAAATCAGTGCAACAGGACGCTAAAATATAACATTACTTAGATTATCTTCGATTATGTCCCAAAAGCCATTGATGAATTTTTGGTAATTCTTGAGTGTGCTCGAAACACCATTATTGTTTGTCGGATATGCAAGTTAGAAAATGCACGCGTGGCGTAATAATTCTCGTCCAATTATCTCTAAAACGCGTTAGATTTACGTAATAATTGTATAGAACGTATAACGTGTTTTCGTTTATTTCTATAACGTTTGTTCGAAACATTTTTCGCTTCGATAAATATTTAGCAATGCACGTTGCAGTTACGCACAGCAACTCAGGTCTTCAGGCAGTGTGTTCGTTATTTCTGGCCGATTTTAAGAAAGTTTAGTGAAATCCGGAAGTTTCATATTTCATGCATACCCCCCTCTATCAGTGGTTACGCGAGTGGGGTTTTTCATACGGGCAGGCTGACGTAGGCATTTCAGTAGGTCACTGCGGGGTCATGATCGCGCCTAAAACACATCAGAAAGGTCTTCCAAGAACTTCACCTTTTGCTGATTCGCAAAAACGAATTATTTTGCTTATCAATGTCCATGTGCCTTGAACTTGGGCTACTTGGATTAAGCTGAGCGTGAGAAATGATGGCGAAGTAGTTACACAATGCAGTCTTGATATAAACAGCTAAACAGAACATGAAGAGCAAGAAATGCGTGTAATATGGTTACTATAAGGAGCCGGGAAGCACAATCGGTATAGAGACTGGCTACAGGCTGGACAACCGAGGGGTCGGATTTCGAGTCCCGGCAGGGTCAAGAATTTTCTCTTCTCCGCATTCTCCACACCTGTTCTGGGGCCCCCCACCCAGCCTCCTATCCAATGGGAACCTCGGGGCTATTTCTCCGGAAGTAAAGTGACCGGAGCTTGAAATTGTTCACTCACCTCCAGCTAGTGCCAAGTTCAAGGAAACTTGGGCCTATACATCCACTCCCCCATACGTCTTCATGGCGTAGTGCGTAATTAGTTAAGTACATGGACAACTGTACCTTACCTATGCAATATGTAAACCATCTTTGAGCATGCGCAGTCGTCATATAGTGCCTTAGAAAAAGCTAATTTGAATCAATGTACCCGGTATATACCTTTCCTTTTGGAAATTAGAACGCGTAAAATTTTAGCTAGTTCCAGTAATTGAGATAACTTTTTCTATGCAGCCCAACTAAGTACCTGCCTTCCTCTCTTCCCTCACCTGAGGATGGATACAGATCCAGTTTCCGAAATGTCATATTTTCTATTTTCCTTCCTTTCCGCTAATGATTGGTCAACAGCAGGGGACGTCCGTGAAAATAGCTCAGAGGGAACTGGCCGCAGAGAATTCCACGGTGATTCTCATCGTTATTGTGTTCTCTTTTATGACGCTGTCAGTAGCTAAGCTACATAGCGTCGAATTATGATGAATTTGAAATGATTCGGAAGGACGTGGTCATGGAAAAATCGAGGTAATATTCTGGAATTTACCTGGAGATACTGAGGAAAATTACGGAAAACCTCTGTCAAGGTAGCCTATGTTCTGTCCGAGAATCGAACCGATGATCACCCTGATACAAGTTAAGAGTGTTACCGCTAGACCAACCTACTCGGTATTCCCATCATGTACTGAAAACAGAACCTAGTACCTTTCTAATGGCGACTTAACTATGCGTCAGTACCACATGATGACGCAACCACACAGATATTTCAGACAAACAAGACTACAATGTAACGTTACAATCGACTTGCCTGTCTGGATTGATGAATGAGCGGACACTCTCCTTTGAGAAGCCGAAGCCGAGGAATGAAAGCGTGCAGACAGGCGTAAAGACGCAGACGGCCACAGTCAGGGCGCCGCCAAGAAGTAATAGAGAAACAGGCGGGAACATCCAAATGCCCAGCCTTCCGAGTAACTTTATAGGCAGCGCGAGATTCTGCAGAAGAGGCACCAGTAGCGACGGGCTCGGCGCGATAAGGCTGTGTCCTCCATTGTCACCAGTACCTCCTAGAACGCTCTGCACACCAGAATCTGCTTGTCCTCCGAGAAGTTGCCCCAAATCGGCCAGGAAACCTAGAAGGGACATTTAGTACAGCAGTTTTATGTATTCTCGGTTGAACGGTATCTAAACCTACACGTGCCAACTGAAAAATGTTTCGACATTTAAAATAATTGATATAACTGAGAGCAGCCGATCACAATGGCCGCGCAGTCTAAGGCATGAACCTGGCCGTGCCATAGCTCAAGCGGCTAGTCGCTGGCTTCCCACCGCGGCGGCCCGGGTTCGATCCCGGGTCTGGTCAAGTGGGATTTGTGGTGAACAAAGTGGCCCTGGGGCGGATTTTCTTCGAGTACTTCCGTTTCCCCTGCCAATCTTCATTCCACCAAATTCTCCATCATTATAATCACCCGGTGCAGGCTACAATAGGCCAATCAGAGGCCGCCGTGCCGCGTGGACCCAGTTGGACTCCACCTCCCAACGAATTTTTAAGGCATGAACCGCCTTCAGCCGCTCGAACACTGGGATTGTGGGTTCTAATCCCACTTGAGGCAGGGAAGTCTGTGTGCGTTTATTCTGTGTTTATGTTGTTCTGCGTGTAGGTACCGGCCTTGCGATGGGCTGATCCCCCATCCAAGGAGTCCTGTCGACTGTGTATGGGATTAAGAAGCTGAAAAACGGCCAAGGTCCACAAGGGCTGTAGAGCTATAGATAGATATATAGATAACAGAGCATCTGACATCTGTTGGAAGTTTATCTGAACTACATAGTCAACAAACATAGATGGATTTTATAAGACGCGCTCTGACGACCTCAAAATGGCGCTTTGATATTGAAGAAACTGAAGCTGGAACATGCAGCAAGTAATACAGGCGCGCTTATGTATTGAAATGCAAGATAACATAGACTTTACTTACGTCTATTAATGTATTTATTAAGTTATTTTATGACGCAGTATCAAATGCTGATGTTAGGTATGTCATTTCATTATCATTATTATTATTATTATTATTATTATTAAACTGCAAATGGCTTTTCACCCGGTGGCCGTGGTAGTACAATAAGTCAACAGACAAATAACACACATAAACACGTTCAAACAAAACACAGCACACAAACATCAGTAGAAAAGTGAAACAGACTGTACAGTATACTAACAGTGCTGAATGCCCAATGTATGTTCTCATTTTCCCTTCATTTATATAATGTATCACTTTCTTAAACCGACTTTTCTTATCTTATCATCCACTTGAGATAATGGATTTTCTGCTATGCGAAGAAATTGCAATAATTATACATAAATTATGAGTACAGTTTATTATAGAGACAGTAATACTTCTGTAAAAATTGAAGCCCTTGAAATCGATGTAGCTTCAGCGGTTTCACTGACTGTCCGTCTAATGTTTTTCTCATAACATTAATATACAGTAAAACTTGGTTATAGCAACATCGGTTTCTGCGACACCTTGTCTATTGCGTCAAATATTCAATGGTACGAACTAATTCCTCATAAAGCAACTGTTTTTATACCTTGCTTAGTACGACATGCACAAATGCATCAACCTCGTATGTAACGTCAT